AAAAAAAAAAAAAAAAAAAGAAAGTAACGCGGCTCAGAGAGCCAGAAATGCTTAGGGGCTTGGGTTAGGGATCTGGGATTGGCCAAAGAGTGAGAGAATTTAGGGTAGCTTGGCAGTCAGAATCAAAACAATAACAATGAACCTATTAGTATTAGCAACTCTTGCAGGCAGGAGACCCAAATAATTAGCTCCAACAACAGAGAATTACAGGGAGATGCTGGTAGGGCTGCTGCTCCCACAGCCATCTCACAGTCTGAAGTGGCTACAAAGTTCCAAACATCACATTCATATGCAGCCAGAGGAAGGAGGAAGGGACAAAGCAGTGGCAAGCAACATGTGTCAAGAATAGTTTTGGCCAATGTCACACATAGGACTTGAGCATATGGCCCTGCACAGCTATGCAGGGGTTGGGAGTGTCATTTTGAATGACCATGTGTCCTGCAAAAAGTCGGGGGTTTTGTTACAAAGGAAAAGGAGAAAAATGGACAACTGAGGCAGTCTTTCCCATAAGTGGTTGCTGTTCTAGCACTTTCTCCTTGAGAAAGACACCCTGCCCCCACACCCCAGACACATAGATAAGGAGGGTGGATCTGATTAGACCCAGACTGTAGTCCTGCCCTCCACCTTTTTCCAGCATTGGGGGGGGGGTGGAGAGGAGGGAGTGGCTTCTGCCTCCTGGGTGGGTGCCTGAGCATTTGGAGAGACCCTGGACTGATTTCTCAGCAGAAGAGTAAAGTCCCCTTTTAGGAGGTTTGCCCAGCCCCAGCCCCACCCAGGTGTGGCTGCCGTGGTGCAGCTCCTTGCCAGAGCTCAGGTGTGTGTTCACGCAGCCCCTGTACCAGCTCTGTGCTAGCGCCAAGTGACTTTTACACCAGTGTCTGAGGCAAATGCCCAGCTGCCGGGGGTTGGGGGTGGGGGTGGGGTTACCAGCCCAGAGAGGGTACAGATGACAGGACCAAGACAGGTGGAGTGCCCCCAATGTCTCCAGAGGCATGGGCTGACCTACTCTGGACAGCGTACAGAGGGGCAGGCAGGTTGGGGCAGCGCGCAGGTGTGTCTGTGTGATAATAATGTGAGTAGTCACTGTATGCCACCCATAATTGACTTTCTGAGGAATATATGAAGGTATCTCATATTGCAGGTGAGGAAATTGAGGCAGGGACAGGCGGGAGCTGGAACTGGAGGTGGAAACCAGATGGGGTGGGGCCGTAGCCTTGCATCCTCACAACCACTAGTCACCAGTTGGGGGCAGGTGCTGTCTGGGGTGCTGAGCACTACTTTCCAGGGCACTCTGGCAGGTTCCGCTCCCTGCCCTGCCCCCCAGCTCCCAGGAAGCCTCAGGACCCTATTTTTGGAAGCCTAGAAGTGTTTGATTGGAAGTGGGTGCAGGGCTCTTCCCAAGGTACAAAAGCAGCAGAGGGGCCTGGGTACACCAAATCCCGTACTTGATGCCCAGCTCCCCCAGCCCCCCCACCAAGGGTGGATTTAATCTTTAAACTGAAAAGTATCAGATGCAGGGAGTATGTGTCCCACTACCAGGCTGTTGCCACCCTCCCATCTCCCCCTGTACAATTCTGAAGCAAAGCAGCCCCTTTGTGGAGGACCAGGCATGTGTGCTTCCTTCCTTCACAGTGGGAAATTGCCCAGCACACTGAAAACACAAGGCCTGGGCACAGTGGGACTGACGCCTGTGCAGGTGTGTTCAGATGACAGGCAATGCCTCACCCTGCGGCCTGGGCTTTCATCCTGGCTCCTTGGAAGCAGGAAGAGCACAGGGTCAGCCTGGAGGACAGGCGCTTGCAGGGCCCAAGACCTTGGGCTGCCCTGACTGCCTCTGGTCCCCCCAGGCACAACGACCTGCCTTGGAAACTGCTGACTGAGTTCAACAACCAGCTGCAGGAGGAGGAGGCCAACCTGACCACTCTGGCCAACACGCACACCAACATCCCAAAGCTGAAGGCTGGCTTTGTGGGGGGCCAGGTATGTCCTGCCCTCCCTTGGGGTCCATCCTATCTGCCTCTGGGGCCTGGTTGGGGTGCAGCACTTCCCTAACCCCTTCTGTCCCCCCAGTTCTGGTCTGCGTACACACCCTGTGATACCCAGAACAAAGATGCCGTGAGGAGGACGTTGGAGCAGATGGATGTCATCCACCGCATGTGCCAACTATACCCAGAGACCTTCCTGTGTGTTACCACCAGTGCAGGTAGGGTCCTGGCCTGGCCCCTAGGGCCCTGAGTCCCGCTCCTGCCATCCTGACAGTGCATGTGGGCACCTGCTGGGGGTGTCTCCAACCTCCTCGTGCCCAACTCTGCCCTGGGATCTTGCAGGCATCCGGCAGGCCTTCCAGGAGGGGAAGGTGGCCAGTCTGATTGGTGTGGAGGGTGGCCACTCCATCGACAGCAGCCTGGGTGTCCTGCGTGCCCTCTACCAGCTGGGAATGCGGTACCTGACGCTCACGCACAGCTGCAACACGCCCTGGTGAGCGGCCTGGTGCCAAGTCACACGCATCACCCTGCCCCTGGCAATTCCCTCTCTGAGACCCAGGCTGGGCCTTGTCTGGGTGGGCTGAGACCACCACTCTGCCCCTTGGGGCACCTGCTTTGTTCCCCCAGGGCTGACAACTGGCTGGTGGACACTGGAAGTGATGAAGCCCAGAGCCAAGGCCTGTCACCGTTTGGGGAGGTGAGTGGGCAAGGGAGAAGGCAGAAGGCCAGGGGGCGACCAGGACAAGGTTTCCACCAACTTGAGGCCTCATCTCCTATAAAATGGAGTTCTTATACCCAGCTACAACTCTCAGTGGCCACAAAACTTTCAGCCACCAGAGTTTAACTACATCTGGTCTAGCCAGGAGACTGAGCCCTCCCCTCTGCATGCCTGGACTCTGGGGTGGCTGTGACAGTGGACCCCTGAACCTTGTCTTCTCAGCGTGTGGTGAGGGAGATGAACCGCCTGGGAGTCATCATCGACTTGGCCCATGTGTCTGTGGCCACAATGAAGGCCACGCTGCAGCTGTCCAAGGCCCCGGTCATCTTCAGCCACTCCTCAGCCTACAGCCTGTGTAGAAATAGGCGCAATGTGCCTGATGATGTGCTACAGCTGGTGGTGAGGGCTGTGGGCCCATGGAGGGGGCCTGTCTGCCTGAGCCCCAGCACTCAGCCCCCTTCTCCCTGTGCAGAACAAGACTGGAAGCCTGGTGATGGTGAACTTCTACAATGACTACGTGTCCTGCACACAGGAGGCCAACCTGACCCAAGTGGCTGGTGGGTGGGGTTGGGGGGTGGTTCACTCCACCTGAGCTGGGGAAGGCCTTGGTTGGGACCCACGCCTGCCTCTCTGGGCAGACCACCTGGACCACATCAGGAAGGTGGCAGGAGCTGAAGCCGTGGGCTTTGGTGGGGACTTCGATGGTGTTTCAAGGTAAGGGAGTGAGATCTCTGTCCTGTGCTGGAAGCTTGAGGCTCATAACTCCATCCATGTCCCAAGGAGCCTAGCAGAGGGCTGTGTGTCTGAGGACAGGCCCAGGTCTGCAGGCCCAGTCCCCTCGGCTTCCATACAGGCTCCCTAAGGGACTAGAAGACGTCTCCAAGTACCCAGACCTGATCACAGAGCTGCTCAAGAGGAACTGGACTGAGGCAGAGGTCAGGGGTGCGCTGGCTGAAAACCTCCTAAGGGTCTTTGAGGCGGTAGAGCAGGTAAGGATGGGGCCACCCATGCTCCCCTCCCTTCTTGCCCACAGGCAGGCTGCCCATTTGTGTCTGTTCCCAGGTCAGCAATCACACTCAAGCCCCCGAGGAGGAGCCAATCCCGCTAGCTGAGATGGATGGGTCCTGCAGGACACAGTATGGCTACTCAAAGGCCCCCAGCACTGGCCACTGGCCAGGGGCCCTGCTGGCCTCTCTGATCTTCAGCCTGTACCTCCTGTGACCCACATCAGACCAGAGCCTAGGAGCCTGCTCGAGGCACAAGACCCAGCCTTCCCTCCTGAGGTGGCACCTAGGCTCCCTGGTGACACCTGGGGACAGCTCAGGCCATAGCTACCCAGCAGACTTGCAATAAAAGCAGTGGCCCCTCAAGTTCTGAGGGTGTGTGTTGTCAGTACCTGGCCCTGGGTGCTCCTGGGAGCAAACTACAGCAGTAGCTACCATTGATGTGGGGGACAGGATGAGCTCAGGAGTGTGAAGAGGGCTCAGCCACACACATGGCCTAAGGGTCTTTTAAAATCAGGCTGGCTGGATTCTCGTGGCCTCCTATGCACACACTCACACACCCCCACAAACACAAAACCACACATCCCCACACGTACACACCCACCCACACCATACATGCACACACCTACATGTACGCCCCCCTACCTAGTCCACTTTGGCTCTGGACCTCACAGCTCTGGCCCACTCCCTTGGCCTGGTCTCTTGGCACAGGGAAAGGTAAGGTCTGTGCCAGGAAGGGCTGCAGACTGCAGTGAGGAGCTGGAGGCTGATGGAGGGTGGAAACATGTGGGGCAGGGCTCCCTTCTAGGCCACTGCCCCCCGGACACCCCTTCTAGACAAGCTTGTGTTTCACATCTAGGCAAGAACTACTCTGCCCTGGCATCCTGCACCCTAACCCTAACCCTGAGGCATCCTTGGGCATGGGGGCACTAGGCCCTGCACAGGTGGTCTGTAGTTTCCCTCATACTCCCCTGTGGGTTCACTTGTCCTTCTCAGACCCAACCTCTCCAGGCGGAGGGCAACCACAGCCCTTGGTGCTGATGGGAGCCCACAGAAGGAAGGCAAGCAGGGTCCCTGTGGAGGCAGGGTAGGGGTCAGTACCTCCTGCAGCCAGTAGCACCCCCAGAAGGGACAGTTGCTGAGGTAACCAGGGCTTCTGTCCTGAGCCCCTGTTCAGTCCGGCTGACTTTTCTGGCTGGGGGTGTAGGCTGGGACCAGGACACGCAGAGTTGGGTTACCCTGGACAGCACCTGTCAGGAACAGACTAGTTGGCGATAAGGTATCAGATAGTTGGTTCGGCACCTGTGGCTCAAGCGGCTAAGGCGCCAGCCACATACACCTAAGGTGGCGGGTTCGAATCCCCAGCCTGGGCCCGCCAAACAACAATGATGG